ATGGCTCAGTGGTCTAAAGCATCTACTTAGAACAAGCTTAGCAAAGCACAGGGACTGCGGTTCAATCCCCCAGCACCACATGCCAGCCAGCCCCGCCCCCAGGTGGGCTGAGCTGGCGCCACACACACACAAATAAAAAATTAAAAAAAAAAAAAAGCTGTATGAAAAACAGTATCCATCCCCATCCGATGAGGGAGTGGGCTGCAGGGGAAAGTGAAGAACTCAGATTTGACCTGTAAAAAGCAGATGGGCCAGTAAGATGGAGCAAAAACAACACCTAGAACTGCTGATTCAGTGTTCAGGAGAAAGAGTATTAGGGAATTTTCAGCTTCCATGGAGAGAGGAGGATGTCAGTGTTTATGAGAGAAAGAGCAACCCAAAAATTGGAGGAGGTCAAGGATGGAAATGTGCTTTAAAGAGAACAGAGATTAGATGAGGGAGGAGAAGGGAACAAAGGAGGGTAAGCAAGGATAGATAATGGTGTGAGGTCATGGGTCAAGGACCAGAAGGTAGAGGCTGAATTTTGCTACAGGAAGCTCATACATAGTATCTTTGTGCTGTGTGTGAATAAAGGTTGGGCCAAAGCTAGGCCCTGTGTTGAGCCTCCCCTCTGGCCCTTTGTAGAGTTTTAGCTCTCTGCCCAGGCCAGCTATCTTTAGTAATTTTTTTTCTCCCATATGTATTTAGTATAGGGTCTACAGGGACCCACTACACAGATTTGACTTGTAGTGAACCTTCCTGCTTTTCAGCCTCCCAAGCCCTGGGATTACAGGCGAGTGCCACCTCACCTAGTCTCATTTGCTGTCTCAGTGTACTCCCGGGGGTGGGGCTAGCACAGAAGGCCAGGGGATTGAACTCCTGTCCCCTGTGTCTGCCTAAGTAGGTGCTTTAATTTTTAAAAGACAGGGCCTTGCTCTGTAGCCCAGGATATATAGCACACTCATATTGATCTACTTGCTTCAGCTTCCCAAATGCTGGGATTATAGGCATGTGCTGCTTCACCTAGCTGAACTTTTTTATTTATTTATTTTTTTAGTTTTTATTTATTTGTGTGTGTGTGTGTGTGTGTGTGTG